TCATAAGGCTTCAATCTCTCTACCAAAGCATCCTTGCCTTCCTGTGTGTTGTCTGGGTGGTTGTAAGGCAGCACTGTATCCTTAAGAGACACGACTTGGTACTTTGACGAGTCGAGCTTTGCAAAGAATGAGTCTGCAATGCCTTGATAGTCATCAAGGATTGCCACTTTTGTCGAAGCCATTCTTAAAGGTTGTCGGGTGTTTCTTGGTGGTGATGAGATGTAAGATGGTAGTGATGATGTATGAGTGAAATGCCGTACAGTCGCAAGGCGTCCAAGTCGACTACAGACACTGTGCGATATCATGTAATCGAAGGAATGTATGTCAATGGCGTTGGAAGCTAAATAGCAATTTGGATTTATCGCAAATGTGACAGTTTAAGAATACTGGCAGGTAGAGAGAGGTCTTTGGAGTCGATTACCAAATGTCATGAGCGGCTAAGGTCTAAGCCGGGTACGCCGATCTCGGATAATGTTTTCGGCAATCTTGAATCAAGATGTCACAATAGGTATTCTAATAAGTCGACTGACTATTTTATCTTAAAGTACGTAAAACCAGTAAGTTAAATGCTATAATACCTATATCAATATAGATTTGGTTTACATCTTGCTGGGCATTCTCATAGCACCATCCAATCTCATAACAACTCCATTCAGCATCACATTCTCAATACCCTGTCGCGCCAATTGCGCAAACTCATTTGGCTGACCAGCTCTCCTTGGGAATTCCATCGCTCCCTCGAGACTCTTTCTGACCTTTTCGGGCATGACGCTCGTCATTCGGCTCTCAAAGAGACTTGGAGCAATTGTCACAACTCGAATTCCAAATCGCGCGAGGTCTCTTGCCATGGGTAAAGTCATGGCCGTCACAGCGCCCTTACTGGCAGAGTAAGAAACTTGGCCCTTCTGACCATCAAATGCTGCCGATGATGCTACCATGATTACAACGCCTCTCTCGCCGTCGAGTCCTTGAGGTTCTACCTTGGCGAGATGCTCTAGAGTCTGGCGGACGAGGTCGATGGTACCGCGGAGGTTGACATTGAGAACAAAATCAAAATCATCCAAGCTAAAGGCAGCGCCATTCCGGTCAAGAATCTATATTGCTCGATCAGTATCTTTTGGCCACACTCTGTGAGGATCTAACATCTTACCGTTGCGGGTGTAGAAACACCAGCTGCTGCTATCACGCCTCCCAAAGGCTTGCCCGTCTCCTTTGCCCACTTGGCAGCATCTTGGACTGCCTTGGTAACACTCTCCGTCTCCAAAACATTGCACTCAAAAAACTTGGTTGAGGTGGAGAGTTTCTTGACTAGTTCTTGGCCGGATTCTTCGTTCATGTCCAAGATGGCCACATTACCGCCGTTGGCGCATATATCCTCTACACAAGCCTGACCAAGGCCCGATGCACTAGAACGTAGGTTAGTGAGTGTTGTGGATAGCTTGTCAGAGACACCGATGTTTGCTTACCCGCCAGAGACTATGAACGTACGATCCTGAACCTTCATCTTGAATTTATGATATTGATATGAATGCTTGTAGAGATATCTAGGGGAAAGGAGATCTCGGTGTTGTAGTAATAAAGCCACCTGGGTTCTGTGTAATTGATCGTCTCTCGGCACGTGGCTAAACAACCGAGTTTGCCTCGGCATCTTACGCAGCTTGTAAGTACAGTACAATACCATGATGGTATCAACGAACTACAATATATGATTTTGAAAAAACAGAGGTTCAATGATAGTCCCAAGAACAACATGTATATTATTGGATGATCACCAATACGCAGATGCTCATAAGCCTGAACGGTCTCCAAGGGATGTAGTATAGGGTAATACAGCCTCGGCATATTTGCGTCATATCTCTTGACAACTTCAATGAAGTGGTGCATGTTCACACACAGAAGGGTATTCCAATAATTATTATTAGTTTCATTAAACTTATTAGCATTTGGCATGTTGATTAATATGATAGTCAACACCGCTTTAAGATCGGCGATGTCACAGCTCCACCCTCACTTAGACTGAACGGCTACCAAACAAGTCAACAATGACTACCAAATTGTCAGCACAACGAGTGAAGAACTTGGATCTTGTGACATCAAGTCAAGACGTGAGATTAATTATATCCTTAACCGGCTACTCCGCAATGCGAATAACTTTGATCATTATTAAAAACGTTGTTAAGAAGAAAGACCCCAAAATCCCTTATTTGGCTGATTTGTGTATCCAACTAATAGACCCAAGCTCTCTATCACTAGTCGAGTACCCTGATAAAACTTGACGCTACAATAGCTTTAATGCCTAACAGCTGGAGCTGATCCACCCGAATTAAGTAAGCTGCTAAGGGTGGCCAAGCTTTGGCGGTGTTATCGGGCTGCTATTTTTTGTCATATTATCACAACTTTATGACGCTATCTCTTGTTTTAGGGGACAAAGGTGGGCTATTTACAGGTGACCCACCCTTCCAATCGCACTCACCGAGCAGGGCAGGTCATTACAAGCATGGCATCCATGGCATGGTATATACTGTTGCAGTAGAACATCCTGGACATCCATCCCATTTTCATGCATCGCATTGCCTGTCAATTTCTAACTTGTCAACTACACGCATGAACGACGGGTCTTTCTCCTTTCCCTCTTCATACCTACTGACCTAACCCGATCAACAATCAATCGCCCGCCTAATAATCGCTTTCCTTTCCTACATACCCTGCTGCAACAGCTCGCCAAAGATCCAAGATATCCGACGTCGCTCCAACCGCCTGAAACCTATCCGCAACTTATCTATCTTCCACAATCTCGTTATTTTCCCGCAATGACCAGGCCTCGTCGGCACTCCGGCGCGAGCGAGGAGAGCTCAGGTACGGCTCGTGAGCAGGTAGGCGACCAGAACAAAGCCGTTATCATAAACGAGACGACTGACTTTTGGCGTCAAAGGAGCTAGGGAGCATGTATGATTACCTGGCCAAGATCATATTGCTTGGACCCAGCGGGACAGGAAAGTACGTCATACCCCAAGCCAGTCGGCGAACGAAATAGCGATCGCAAATGCCATGATTAGCGATCACCAGTGGCTGACCCTTGCGCGCATTTATAGGTCATGCCTACTACATCGCTTTGTCAAGAATGAATGGCGAGTCTTGTCATCGCAAACCATCGGTGTCGAGTTTGCCACCAAAATCATCAAAGTTGGTTCCGGGTCGAGGCGGAAACGGATAAAGCTTCAGGTACCATCACTCGCCATCGCGCAATAACAGAGAGTGGGATATTGACGTGACACAGCTTTGGGACACGGCTGGGACAGAACGATTTCGATCAGTCTCCCGTTCTTACTACCGAGGCGCCGCGGGCGCTATCCTTGTCTACGACCTTACCTCACACGCATCCTTCCGAAACCTACAACCGTTCCTTAATGACGCCCGAGCCCTTGCATCCCCGAACCTTAGCCTTATGCTCGTAGGCAACAAACTTGACCTTACAGACACACTCGTCGACACAAGTCTTCCGCCCCCAACACCAAATAGCGTCACTTCAAACTCAACCCTGACATCTGGTATGCTCGGCGCCGGCGGCAGCTCTTACACAAGTACAGCCACGACCAGAGATCGAGGAGCATCCATAAGCGCAGGCAATCAGCTGAGAGCAACCATTGCGCCAGAGGGCAGAGAAGTCACAAGAGCCGAGTCCAGCCGATGGGCCAGTACGGCAGGAATATCAGTAGTCACCGAGGCGAGCGCATTCAACGGCGAGGGTGTTGACGAGATATTCGAAAGGCTAGCAAGAATAATTCTTACAAAGATTGAACTCGGCGAGATAGACCCGGACGATCCAGCAAGCGGGATTCAGTACGGTGACAGCGGCGGGTGGAACACAGCTAGTGATGGAGGCAGTATTAAGAGTTCCATGACAGGTGCCACCGTGGACGACGTTCACAACGGACTCAGGAGAAGGAGGAAGAAGAACAGAACACAGAACTGGGGACTACGAGAATGGGAAGAAGTGTTTACGTTGAGCAGTAGAAGGAGAGGAGGTGGCTGTTGTTAATCGCTTAGATTGCGGCTGCCCTTTCATGCCTGCTTATAAGCCGGTGCCGTCCAAGATATCTGGTTATATGTTAGACTGACAGTGTTTTTATTTTATTTTAGGAAAATGGTTTCGCGAGACATTCGTTCAGGAGCGCGTTGGCGTTTTGGTATAGATGATTGGGGTGTCAGGATGCGCAAAGGCTTGATAGGAGTTCTTTGGTTGTGTAGTCTGACCTATACTCGTATCTGAGTCCATCATATATATATAGTCATGACAATCATTGGCTGCGACTGATAGTTTGAGATGCGCATATTTCTATGTTGACCATGTAAAAGGTAATGTGAGAGTCGAATAATATGTCTTTTTGTTTTATCCATACATATCTCATGATCCCGTTGTATCAAGCCTCGTTTGATGCTGTATTATGTGAAAGTCCAGAGAGAATCGCTAGCACTGGACATATCAACCAACGTTCGAAAGCGATCAAATGAAACAGGATTCACATGCATATTTCGCATGTATGAACCGCTGATCCTCATTCGTGTGTGTTGTTCACACAAGATTCAACGTCATTCAGCCTGGATTTACTGCCAATTGAGGGGTCGATTTGACGGATTAACGTCCCGTCGAAGCGGAAGTGGGTGTTCTTCTGCTGTGTAGAGGTCGGGCATCGTGTTATTCCCAAATCCACCACTGATAATAGAGCATTACAAGGGTTTACTGCTTGTCTTACGAGAATCATGAATCGATGAGGTGTTGCGAGACTTCCATGCATCGCGGGGTTAACGGTCACACTTGCTTGCACCTGCCCAGTTGAATTGAACCTCCTTCCATATTAACAGGACAAATCATGGTGACGTTGCTCTTCACACCTTCTTCATTCTAATACCCCAATTAAACTGACATCTTTCACCAGTTGACTTCTCCCGATTACCCTCACAGCACGTTGCGAATAGCTTCAGTGAGAGAAGACTCCAGCATGGCTCCCCGCACTATCACTCCAGTCGATAAAAATTGGCAGTTCAAGCAGGAGAAGGAAGACGACGCGTCTTATTTGCCTGTCGCTCAATTTCCTACCAACGTTCATCTCGACCTGTTGCACCACAAAAAGATTCCTGATCCTTACATTGGAAAAAATGAGCTGCAAGTGCAGTGGATCGGAGAGACTGCCTGGGTCTACAAGACTACATTTTCTACCCCCAAGATTGACGATGGCGAAAAGGCCGTACTGGCCTTTGACGGTCTCGACACTTTTGCTACAGTCAAACTGAATGGCGAGAAAATCCTTGAGACAGAGAACATGTTCATCCCAGAGCGTGTGGATGTCACGAAGCATCTCAAGAAAGATGCCGAGAATGAACTTCATATCAGCTTCGACGCTGCCTATCTGAGGGGTTGGAAGTTGGCTGAAGAGCATCCTCACCACAAGTACATCGCCTGGAATGGAGATGGCTCAAGATTGCCTGTTCGGAAGGCACAATACCACTGGGTAATCTACATCCTAAATCTATGTATCGCTTCCCCACGACTGACCACTCTTAGGGCTGGGACTGGGGTCCTACCATGCTGACATGTGGTCCTTGGAGACCAGTAAATCTCGAAGTATACGAGTCCCGTATCGCTGATCTCAACTCTGAATCAGAGGTTGAAGAATCGCTCCAAACAGCAAAGGTCGTTGCGCATGCCGCAGTCGAGGGGAAAGCATCAAAAGTCCGCTTTGATGTCTCTCTAGATGGAAAAGTGGTCGCATCAGAAACCGCACAGGTGAAGGACGAACGCGCAGCAACAACGTTCCACATTCAAGATCCAGCTCTGTGGTATCCGATCAGATATGGAAAGCAACCATTGTACACTATCAAAGCAACTCTTCTTGATGGCGACAACGAACTCGATTCGGTTTCCAAAAGGGCTGGCCTTCGCAAACTCGAGCTTGTCCAGAGAGAACTTGATGGGCAACCTGGCACAAGCTTCTTTTTCCAAGTCAACAATATCCCCGTTTTCTGCGGCGGAAGTAACTGGATCCCAGCAGACAATTTCATCCCCCGTATTTCCAAAGACAGATACCGTGACTGGGTCAAGCTCGTTGCCGAAGGCAACCAATTCATGCTGCGAGTCTGGGGCGGTGGCATCTATGAAGAAGACGTTTTCTACGATGCTTGCGATGAGTTTGGCATTCTTGTATGGCAAGATTTCATGTTCGCTTGTGGAATCTATCCAGCATGGCCTGAGTTGCTCAAATCTATCGACAGAGAGGCCCGAGCGAACATCAAGCGACTGCGACATCATCCATCCATTGTTATTTGGGCAGGAAACAACGAAGATTACCAAGTGCGCGAATCAGAGAACCTCACTTATGACTTTGATGACCACGACCCTGAGAGCTGGCTGAAGACTGACTTTCCAGCACGCTACATCTACGAAAAGCTTCTCCCAGATGCTTGCAAGGACCTTGATTCTAATGCTGTCTATCACATTGCCAGTCCCTGGGGTGGAAAGGTTACCTCCGATCCTACTATTGGAGACATCCACCAATGGAATGTTTGGCACGGCTCTCAGCAAAAATACCAAGATTTCGATAAACTCGTCGGCCGCTTCGTTTCCGAATTTGGTATGGAGGGTTTTCCAAATACCAAAACGATCGATGCGTACCTTCCAAAGGGTAAAGATGACCCTGAGAGGTTTGCAAGCTCGTCCACCATTGACTTCCATAACAAAGCGGACGGGCAAGAACGCCGACTAGGACTCTACATGGCTGAGAATTTCCGGTTCACTATTGATCCTTTAGAGGATTACGTCTATTATAGTCAACTGTTGCAAGCTGAGGCTTTGGCCTCGGCTTACAGGCTCTGGAAGCGACAGTGGCAGGGCCCGAAGAAGGAGTATTGCAGTGGTGCTTTAGTATGGCAGACCAACGACTGTTGGCCCGTCACCTCTTGGGCTATTTGTGACTATTACCTCCGTCCAAAGCACGCATACTATACCATCAAACGAGAGATGGCCCCCGTCACTATCGGAATGACGCGCCGAGTACATAAGCACCCCAAGGACAAGTACACCAGAGTTAACGTCGAAATCAAGACCCAAGTTGAGATCTGGGGCAGTAACCTCAACTTGAAAGACGCGACTGTAGATTGCGTAGTGAAGGCTTGGGACATTGAGACAGGAAAAGAAACCTACTCGCAAACAGTGTCTTCGGAGCTCGTTCTTCAGAGCAACCGTTCAACAGAGATCAAGATCTTGGACGTACCAGTTGAGAAGCCTCACGCTGAACTTGAAGCAAAGACGGTCGTTGGTGCGTATCTATATCAAGACGGCAAACAGATTGCGCGATACGTCAACTGGCCCGAGCCGCTCAAGTACCTCCACTTTCAGAAACCCCAGGAACTCAAAGTCAAGGTCAATCAAGACGAGAAGACCGTTGAGATCAGTGCCGAAGTTCCAATTAAAGGACTGGCCTTGGAATGCGAAGATGATGGCGTCAGGTTTGATGACAATTTAGTTGACGTTGTTCCCGGAGAGGTTGTGACAATTGGCGTCAAAGGGGCGAAGAAGGATACTGTCCTCAAGACGCAGTATCTAGGAATGCAGGTCCATGACTAGATTTAGGGGTGGTATCTGACTCTTACCAAGTACGATACATGATGGTATGGAATAGTGAACCCAGCTATTGAACCTACCAAAACGAGAGTGAGGGGCGACATGAATTGTTAGCATAATGGCCATTGATACTGTTAATAGAATGACTCAACCGCTTAATTTATCAATGTTCTAGGAGTTGCTAGCCAAGAGTAGAGCTAGATAGCTGTCAACCTATGTGCGACCCCTCTTTGGAAAAGCAAGACTCCTCTGTGTTTCTCTGTATTAGATAGCTTCGATAATGTCACGAGTGAATAAGAGTGCTGATCTATTAAGATACAAATATTAAAGCAAACTTTTCATTCTGTCCCTTGGGAGGCCCATAATGGAATGCACAGCAAAACTTGCCAGAGTCTTAAGTCTTATATCATACACGATGTCTATGTGTCTAAGCCTGTAACCCGTTCGTCTCCACAGCTCACATGGCTAGGTATATTAAGCCCAAAGTGTCACTCACTCACACGTCACTAGCTCATAAAATGCTCTCGTGTACTGCACCTCACTTAGGGACGTTACAGGACAGCTGAAGCTGGTGCAGCATACATCACTTCTGCACGGGTCTATAGACATTTGCAGTTGCAACATAACCTTGTACTACAATTACTTGGGTGTTGAGAATGCAACGTCGAATTAAACTGCTAGGTAGTATTGGTACTACGTGTGTCCTTTTTGCGATCCCGCATAGAACAAGAGATGCCATCTGACTGAAGAACAAGCTGAGGAGGTTTTGTACAGATATTTCTCGCATTGCGACTTTTGCATCCCCTTATAAGAGAGACACTGAAGAACAAGCTGAGGAGGTTTTGTACAGATATTTCTCGCATTGCGACTTTTGCATCCCCTTATAAGAGAGACACTGAAGAACAAGCTGAGGAGGTTTTGTACAGATATTTCTCGCATTGCGACTTTTGCATCCCCTTATAAGAGAGACACTGAAGAACAAGCTGAGGAGGTTTTGTACAGATATTTCTCGCATTGCGACTTTTGCATCCCCTTATAAGAGAGACACTGAAGAACAAGCTGAGGAGGTTTTGTACAGATATTTCTCGCATTGCGACTTTTGCATCCCCTTATAAGAGAGACACTGAAGAACAAGCTGAGGAGGTTTTGTACAGATATTTCTCGCATTGCGACTTTTGCATCCCCTTATAAGAGAGACACTGAAGAACAAGCTGAGGAGGTTTTGTACAGATATTTCTCGCATTGCGACTTTTGCATCCCCTTATAAGAGAGACACTGAAGAATTTTGCTGTCTTGAAGCCGGTGCCCAGTCACATCCATCGCCCTACTCAGAAGTCTGATTAAGGTTGTGTCTGACAAAGCCTACATATCCATAGATAGTGTAAGAACCAACAGCCAATATCTAGAGCCGACACTGACACCCTCACCAGCAGGATGTTCCTGATCCTGCGATCTGGGGCCAATAGGGGTCGGTACCGCATGCAGATGAGAAGCCGACGGTATCAGCCAGCAATCTCGTGCTCGGCAGTTGAAATTCAAGACTACGCTTGACGATGATGAACGCAACAGCAGAAGATTTGTTATCTCCACATAGACATACTGTATCCCAGTAACTTTTGTAATAATTTGTCAGTTTTCTATGAGTTGAGATTTGTCGGAGCACTGAGTTCGACTGAGGAGATAGCATTCATGCACCAGTACTATGCCTTGCCTTTGGCAGCAACCAGACTAAAAGTCATTGTTCTTCTTGAACGGAAGTTTGTCCTGATAGCATGAACGATAAAATCGTTGGGATGACTTGGAATTTTGATCTAACCTTTGCCCCTTTCAACCAGGAAGGCGAGCCAAGTTAGTGAGATCCAACTCCTCCCTTTCTCAACACAAATCGAATATAGCAAAAAAGAAGATACCAAAAATATATCCTGACGACATGAATCTCTGCCCCGTACTGGAATCGAACCAGTGATCTTATCATTACTAGTGATACGCTTTACCACTGAGCCAACGGGGCTTCTTGAGATAGAAACCCAACACCTACGCGAGTCCTATAGAGTCTACTAGCCAGCCAGCGTTCAGCTCAATCCTGTGACATTCAACCTGATAGACAACTGGATTTCATGGCTAAGGACTTGAGTTGATGATGCAATCTCAAGTTTGCAACTACTGGTACGAAAAAGCTTCTCCGGGTCTTGCGAGAAAAGGAAGGTAAAAAAGACTCGCTTTCCCACCCTCATCAATGGTAGAGAAAGGTGCAAAAGATACTAGACGGAAGCATAGAAGGAAGGACATGCATAAACACTTACCGGATGATAATTTCATAAGGGTGTTGATTGAACACCCTTTCGTAGACATCGAGAGCAATCTAGAAGCTTGCAGTACCTCGTGCTTGTGTTGATTGGATACTCTTCCTGCCGTTCACGTCGCGTTCAAGGCACAGATAGGTGATATACTTGCCGAATGTCGCAAAAGAGTCCGTGTGCATCCCTCTACTCCTATCACAGTATGAGGCCCTTTGTTTTCACGGGTTGTCAAGGTGTCGAGGGGGAACATGTACCCGAGAGCCATGTAGGACTCTCCAATTTAGAATGACTCTATTCGGATTAAAGTATTCTGAGCAAGATGGCATCCTTATCGCGACATTACGGTTGCATACCGGGGTAAAATGACCAGCTAGGAAGGAGCTGAAGCCATTGACGTTGTATGTACTTTTGTCGAGAAGGCACTGGGCTGCAAGATCTTAGGCAATGGCGAGATGCGTCAGTCCAAAGGCCCCAAGGGTCCTCGGTGTATACAGTAGCGACATGTCTCATCGATGATCTCGTCCAAAACGAGCGAGGTCCTATATCCAGACCATTCTTGTTAAAGCAAATACTACTCTTTTTGTTGTGTTGTATTGGAAGCCATAGGTTGGGTGGTGACTAGTCGATAGCTAGGGTAGCAAGGGTGCAACTTGACGAACGGGAAGTTTTATCGGCAGCATTCGCAAACAAGGTAGTGAAGTTTCACCTTCGGACGGCTGTAAGATCAAACTCAGCTCACGGTGCTGTTCCTGAGCCTTGCTACAACGGTCAGACCAACAACCCCGCGGCGAAAGGATTCAAGCGGGCCGTGGTGATCGTGTGGCGCGGGCTGGGCACGGCGAATAGCCTGGTAAGTCGGCGTGTCTGGCATTGTAACCGCTGAGAAACAGCGGCAAAGGCTGGAGGCAAGGAACTGATGATAGCAACCAATTGATGACTAGGCTGAGATGTTCCAAGCGGCCAGGGGACACGTATGGGAGGATGACTAGTGGTAGCCTCCATCCAAGCTTGAGACAACATAAGGATTGGCCCAAGGGCCGCTAGAAAGCGACTCTACATTCTCGAGAATGGCGTGCGAGCGGTCGCTAAATGATTCCACGAATAGCCTTCCGTGTTGAATCCTCGGAGTTTGAGTATTGCTTCATTGCGGAAGAGTCTTGGCACTCGATAAGCTGATGCAGCACGTTGTAAAGGGTATTGATGACATTTAGGGATCCTATGTTATGTCGAGGACTTTTGTTTAGATAGAATCAGGTGGTGCTGATAAGGATGGATGGGTTGATTGAACGATCAATGGCTGCACCGCATGCACGCTGTTTGAGAGACAAGGGTCATGAGATGCACGAGGTGGGGTACTTACATTCGATTTTGAGGTTGGTTTCAATAGGTTGGTAGGAAAAAGCAGGTTCGGTAGGATTCATGAGGCAGCAAGACAGCGCCTACCTTAATATGAAAACTTCCGTGTTTCTGTAAAGGGGGCTGATGGGTTGTCTTACGGGCAGGTGAGACGGTGGGCGGGTAAGCAATTAGAGTTAGCAAGTACCTGGATCCGAATGAGTTTGTAAGTTAGACTTCCGGGTTGCACCTTCTCTCGGCGGCCATTAAACTAAATCTTAGACTATCCCCAAGAGAATTGGAAAGAGTGGGTGCCCACCAATTCATCTAACCAGTTAAATTAACGGCAAGAACGCCGCGATCTAACCCCACTCATCCCCCACCTCTATTCTCCAACCTTGATTATCAACTCCACACGACTTACAAGCATGAGCTCGGATAGCCCATACTACTACACAAATCTATTGGAATTTAGATTACGACAGGTTCAATGCAGGGATAATAAGTCTCCTCTAGGGTCTGTTCGCCTATCACTGCCGCCTTGTCACCATCAGAGCCTCACTGCATCAGAAAGTCTCAGTTCAAATCATGTCCTTTACCGAGTACACCTCCAACCTCTCAAATCAAATCACGCTGACCTCCTTCTTATCCCTTGATCTGCTTTAAGTGGAAGCAGATACAGACTACTCAATAAAACTACGGAGAGAAGTGGCCAATATACAATCTAGCCTTGCCACTTCAGCCTTGGAAGAAACGAGCATCCAAGTCAGTGTCTTATACTGCAAAGCCAGCGGCAACAATGCGTATCAAAACGGCCAAAGTGCCTCGATGAGGAAGTTGGCATGGTGGTCAACATCGCGTTCCTTAATCCGGAGGTGCATAATTTATTGGGTGAGACCCTTTACGGCTCTTTCTGGATGCTAGGGTAGGTAATCAGGATAGTTCGTCTGGCCTGGCATGGACATGCTAGAGTTGCGGGGGAGTATTACTACCTTATTGGGCAGTTCACTAACTTCTCGTAGGTATTTCGAACTGATCCTTCCGGTTTTTGATAATGAACTCCCGAGCCAGGTTTTATGCATATTCTACGGACCGATCCATGACTCCGAGTGGCTTTGTTCCTGTCCTTGTCTCTGTTCAAAGATACAATGGCGTTTGCCTGCCTGCCTTCCATATCGGCCAACTCCTCATATCAAATCTGCCATCCTCTGATATTCGTACTAGATGCCAGGATACCAAGGTAATCGCCAGAGCTTAGCGACTGATTAAATGTACTTTTTGATGAGGGTCTTCTAGCGCTTCGCTTTGCTAGTGCAATGTCGATCATAATTGGCGATAGCGAGAACAGGCCAAGGGGTTAATAGCTACATCTCCAGTTTTGCCAAGTCACTTAACAGAAGTATCGTCCATCCTCTTGCTCTATTTCATCACATGTCAATGAGACCTATTGGAGCTTGAATTGAGCAATGTGTTCACCCCGTTCCCTTGGCGCAGCTCTGTTATCCCAGTTCTTCACCATAATGGCATATGTTATGATCATAGGTTCCATCCATGCAGGTTGTCCTTGAGGCCTGGCTTAGGGATCACCTACTTACATTCCTCAAGGACTTTTGCATCGTTCGCTATCCTGCGTTGCCTCCTATGCCCATGCCGCCTCTATACACCGCATGTCGCCTTCCTTTTTGCGTTGGGCGCTGCCCAAGACAACAATGGGACACTGTGTGAAGCATTCACTCTTTCCGCAAAAGGCAGTTGACGAATGTTATCCCTTCGATTGTGTCTTGACGATGTAGCATATCTGAGGATGGAGGCGACATAGTTCCATGTTTGCGCCTTGTGATGAATCTCGATGCTAATATCACGAAAGGCGAAGCCGTGCACCAAGGTGGATCGACATCTATATAAGTCCTCATGATCTCCCTCCTTTGAACGATTATCCCTCTCATCATCCTCATACTCATCAACACTTCAAGACTCACACTCCACTTTGATTCTATCTTCTCACAATGGTGAACTTCAAGAACCTCGCTGTTGCTGCGACCAGCCTCCTCGGCCTCGCCAACGCCGCTCCTACTGCCCAGGTCAACTCTGACGAAGTCATTCCTGGCAAGTACATCGTCACCCTCAAGTCTGATATTGCTGCTTCCAAGCTTGAGAGCCATCTCAACTGGGTCGGAGATGTCCACAAGCGTGGACTGAATGAGCGAGCTGAGAAGGGTGTTGAGCGCACCTACAACGGCAAGTATGGCTTCCGCGGCTATGCTGGATCTTTCGACAAGAAAACCATCAAGGAGATTAAGGAAAACCCCGATGTAAGTAACCTTATATCTTGGTATCATGCGCAGTACTGACATTGACTTAGGTCGCCCTTGTCGAAGAGGACCGCGTCTGGACCATCGACTGGGTCGACGAGCCCGAGGAGGAATCTCTCTCTAAGCGTGCCTTGACAACCCAGAATGGCGCTACCTGGGGACTCGGAACGGTCTCTCACCGCGCCAAGGGATCTACCAGCTACATCTACGACACCAATGCTGGTTCAGGCACTTATGCCTACATTGTTGACACTGGCATTATCACTGGCCACAACGAATTCGAGGGCCGTGCCCAGGCCGTCTACACTGCCTTCAGCGGCCAGAACGCTGACACCAACGGTCACGGAACTCATGTTGCTGGTACCATTGCCGGAAAGACTTACGGTGTTGCCAAGAAGGCCACCATCCAGGCTGTCAAGGTCTTCCAGGGCAGTTCATCCAGCACCTCCATCATTCTCGCTGGCTTCAACTGGGCTGCCAACGACATCATCTCCAAGGGCCGAACTAGAACCTCGGTTGTCAACATGTCTCTCGGTGGTGGTTACTCTGCTGCCTTCAACAACGCTGTCCAGTCTGCTTCCAGCTCCGGTATCATCTCTGCCATTGCTGCCGGTAACGATGGTGCTAACGCTGCAAACACCTCTCCTGCCTCTGCTCCCAGCGCTATCACTGTCGGTGCCATTGACAGCAACTGGGCTATTGCCTCGTACTCCAACTACGGCACCGTCCTTGATATCTTTGCCCCTGGCACCAGTGTTCTGTCCGCTTGGTACACCAGCAACAGTGCCACCAACACCATCAGCGGTACCTCCATGGCCACTCCTCACATTGCCGGACTTGTCCTCTACGGTATCTCTGTCAACGGTGTCTCTGGTGTCTCTGGTGTTACCAACTGGCTCATCTCCACTGCCACCTCTGGCAAGATCACCGGCAACCTCCGCAGCTCCCCCAACCTGATCGGTAACAACGGCAACAGCGCCCAGTAAGCGTCTGCTATCGGTTTGCACAAGATATAAAAATGTCTTGGAATGCGTAGAAAGAGGAGGGTCGAGACAAGAGTTTGACTCTTATGATGATGATGAGAATGAGAATGGGATCGGCAATTTTCAATTCAACCCACCCCTTTTAAGAGGGAAACCGTATATACTGCCGTACATATTGCGCAATTTGAAGATGACATTCGCTCATCATATTCTACACAACTGATGGTTTGTGAATATGTACCATATAACGAGCTTCTCAAAACAGTCCGAATTGAATAATTGAGACTTTGGCCACTTATCATGCAGTTAACAGTTGAATGGACCAATATAATTCTCATCATCTAGTCACTGTAGGGTACTTGTTTTACTAAGCCATTTATATTTCCAGGCATAAAATCTCCTGTCGTGGTGTAAGTTGATAAACCAATAGCGATTCAACAGTGAGTATCGAGGGGCTGGGCTTTGTGGCCCGCCAACCAGTGGAGTTTTTTGTCGGGTCAGCTCCACCACCGAAATTCGTCGCGTGAAAATTTCTTTATCATCAAACTCTTTTACCTTAACATGCAAACAAAGGAGTCTCTCGACGAGACGAACCAAGCAACAAAAGACGCCATCTTGATAAAAAAGATGTACTATTGAAATGCGTTATTGGAATCACGGTAGGTATATTTCTTATTCATTCTCCTCTCATCCGCAGCGTTCTTCCTTCAGTCACTCGGTTTCCCTACGAGTCTTCCCTAACGGGAGGGTCTTCCTCTGACGACACGTTTTGTGCTGTCTTTGTGAAGTAGTCTGAAGGGATGATTTAACGATGGAAGGAAGAAGGATAATGAGGGCTTTTGTTCTCTTCGTCCTTTTTTTTTTTTCATCGTCGCTGCTAGAAAAACAGGGCCATCATAGTCCACGTCCGTCTCGTCTTTGTTGCTCACTTTGGTGGGTAACATTGTATAAATTCCTACACGGGCGAGGCTCCAGGAGCACCAACATTTCTTAGTTCTATCAATGATTAGATGTTTTACCGTACCATAAATTTATGTAATATTACTCATTACCTTGTCCAACCGTTATCCTGTTTTATTTCACGTGTGAATTTTATCAAGGTTTTGTCAGAGTGGATTCTTGTCCGTGAGATCTCAAAGACGTCATGGTGTGTTGTAACTAACTGTCTACGGCCCGATCATGAATTCTTGATGCTTCCAACAAATACTCTGTACTAAGCTATAGAGCCCACTGTTCATCTATTAATACTGTCGTCACTTTTAATAAATAATCGCCATGTTCATATTAACTAAATACTCGCTGTCCGGTGTCTCCCGATTCTATCCACCATCATTACCAATGCGATATCTCACCAGCAGCTATGCCACCCAGGCTGGGAAATCGCAATTTACCACAACTAAAAACAAGTCCAATTCCAAATATGAGAATCTCCCCCTCAGCACCAGCGGTCCTATCAACTGTGCCCTGAGCGGGACATCGCTCTTGAATACGCCTTACCTCAATAAAGGATCGGCCTTTCCTCCAGACGAGCGCCGGGCCTTCAATCTCACAGGCTTACTGCCTCAAGGTGTTCAGACACTTGAACAACAGTGCAAACGTGCCTATGAGCAGTATTCGTCTAGACCTGACGACTTGGCCAAGAACACATTCTTAACTTCACTGAAGGATCAAAATGAGGTTCTCTATTACAAGGAAAGTTCAACCTGCACATGCATGCCATGAGGTTGTACTAACTGCCGTATAGCTGCTCCAGACTCATCTCGATGAGATGATGAGTATAGTCTATACACCGACAGAAGGCGATGCTATTCAGAACTACTCCCGACTCTTTCGACGTCCAGAAGGTTGCTATCTCAACATTCAAGACCCAGACCATGTAGAGCACAACCTTGCACAATGGGGTAACCCCGAAGATATCGACTACATTGTGGTATCTGGTCAGTTACTCACTCCAATACCAAGCTACAGCACAGTGCTAATACATCCACAGATGGAGAAGAAATTCTCGGCATTGGTGATCAAGGTGTCGGCGGCATCCTCATCTCTGTCGCCAAGCTGGTACTTACGACACTCTGCGCAGGTGTCCACCCCAACAGGACATTTCCGGTAGTCTTGGACTGTGGCACGGACAACAAGGAGCTTCTTGACGATGAATTATATCTGGGTTTGAAGGAGAAGCGTGTCCGCGGTGAAGAGTATGCCGAATTTGTGGACAAGTTCGTCCAGTCTGCCAGGAAGCTTTACCCAAATGCGTATATCCACTTTGAGGACTTTGGCCTGGGCAACGGTAAGAGACACTCAAGCTGAAGTTGACGTCGCACTACTGACGTTTATTCAGCGAGGAAAATACTTGAGCGTTATCGTCCAGACTTTGCTTGCTTCAACGACGATGTCCAAGGAACAGGATGCGTGACTCTGGCTGCCATCATGTCTGGTCTTCACGCCAGCGACCAAAAGCTCAAGGACCTGCGCATGGTGGTTTTTGGATCCGGAAGTGCCGGTCTCGGTATTGCGGACCAAGTTCGAGATGCTATAGCGACGGAGGGAAACATGAGCCACGAAGACGCCGCAAAGCAGATTTGGTAAGACAATCCCCCCGAAACCTATACAAACGTCAGGTGCTTACCAGTTCTAGGTTGATTGACAAGTCTGGGCTTCTCACCTCCGAGACTAAAGACGTCACTGAGTCACAGAAGATGTATGTCAAAGATGTTTCCGAGCGGAAAGACAACGATACCGACCTGCTCTCCGTCGTCAAAGGTGTTCGTCCAAATGTCCTCATCGGTACATCTACCAAGGCTGGTGCTTTTACCGAGGATGTAATTCGTGCCATGGCCGAGCACCACGAGCGTCCTATTGTCCTCCCTCTATCCAACCCAACCCGCCTTCATGAGGCTAAGCCCGAGGACATTTTGAATTGGACCGATGGAAAGGCCCTCGTGGCCACTGGCTCACCCTTCCCAGCCGTCAAGGGTCCCTGGGGCAAGAATGGTGAAGAGATCACCATCAACGTGGGCGAGTGTAACAACTCGGTCGTCTTCCCTGGCATTGGGCTTGGATGCATTCTATCCCGCGCCAAGCACCTTACAGATCGCATGCTCGTCGCAGCTGTGGAAGGTGTTTCCTCTCTGAGTCCTGTTCTTAAAGACCCAACGGCTCCTCTCCTACCAGACGTGGGTTCTGTGAGGGATGTAAGTGTTCGCATCGCCCGCAACGTGATACAAGCAGCTGTCAAGGATGGTGAGGCTACACAAGAAGGCATCCCTGAGGACGAGGATGATCTGGAAGAGTGGATCAGGGAACAGATGTGGGATCCCGAGTACCGTCCCTTGAAACAAGTTGATTTAGAGAGTGCTACAAGAGAGGCCAGAGGCGAACTAAAGAAGGCCGGAACGGTACATCGAACTGGTCACACATGAGATCTACTATAATGCGATAGTATATTGTGGGCTGTCACATATAGTGCAACACAGCTTAGCTAGTCGACTCACATCACATAACTGTAGCTACATATCAGACACTTGATTCGAATTTGACTGTGGCACTGCATGTTCAAACAAAAATCCGATATTCCAATTCCTAAACCGTTTTAGAGCTCAGGAGGATCATATTTGCCAATTGCAAACCCGAACGCCCAACTTACCTTGTGGCATAATGCATTTCATATCTTCGTCGCCCTTAAATCGTTTAGATGACGCCTGCTCGGGCAGCCTCTCCAGCATTGTCTTGAACGAGGTCTTCCATCCTCTTCTTGCCCCTGCCAAGGCCACCCTCGCCAACACCCATGCGACGAGCAACGTATCGCTGGGCGACAGTGCCGATAGAGAGGTTAAGAAGCTCCTCAAGCCACTCAGCCACCCATTCTCGAGGGTCAACACCGCCACTGTCAATGATATCTCGAATCTCTTCTGGGATATTAGCGTCCGAAGTATCGCCGTCCTCGCCAGAGTGAGGGGTGAGAGGAGCTGGGGTGTCAAGCCACTGAACCCATCGGGCAGGAATAGACTGGCTGACGGTATAAAATTCAATGTCGTGGACAGGGTCTAAGATGAAGACTGCGAAGCAGATGAGTTCCTCGTCTTCGTCATCCTGGTCTTGGACATCGGAAGATTGCTTCTCCTTTTCGGCCGAAGCAGTACGAGCAAACAGAGTTCCATCAGAATCCACAGCAATTGCCTGCACGGCTAAGAATAAATCTGACGTTCGAACCGGGTTGGTTTCGCTGACATCTTCCGTGGCTTTGAGCTTGGCTGTCTCCACGCCACCGTTGGCGGAAAAGTATTCGTTCGCATGCGATTCAGCGTTGGCGCGGCAAAGCTTAGTTCCTTCTGGCAATCCATTTATCAAGCCCAGCTCGCGAGCAGTGTCAGTTTGTCTCCACCAAGGACCGTCGTGCCATCCAGCAGCACTATCGGTACTTCGTCGAGAGTGGCTTTCCTGACCACGCTGGATGACCAGAAGATCACCGCCCTCAACCTGAGCCATCACATGGCCAAATACGTTATGGATCAGAGGGTCGAGAGATGGATAGCCGACAAGATCGTGAGATATGTGAATGAGGAGACGCTCATGGGAGCTGATGGGAGGGGCAAGAGTATGGAGGATATTCGTAAATGTAGGGAGAGCACGGTGCCGGAGTTCGTCACCTAGAGTCTCAATTAGTCTTTAGAGCCAAGGTTAATGTTCAAGTCGAGTATACCGTAGGTTCGCAGAGTGGTGACGTCAAGTCCTCTAATTCCCTTGACCTGATCTGCCCATTTCTTGGCCTCCTCGTTTTGTTGGATCTGGGTGACTGCGGCTTCAGCTTGCTTCATGGCAGCACTGGCCGTGGACAGAATGCCACCCCACCATCCTCCACCAGAAGCCTGAGGGGCAGGATCTTGTTGCTGGACAGGCTCTGAAATTGGCTTCTTTTCATTCTCATGGAGATCTGAGCTCGTGGCACTCGGTGTGAATGTTGCTTTCAAACTGCGTGCACTATCTGTAGACTTGCGGGGGTCACCAGCAGGAGGTGTAGCCGTGGAACGGCGGGCAGCATCCTTGAGTCGAGGAGTGTGAGGTCGTGAAGGCTGCTCGGCCAGTTGAGACTCGAGATCGGCTAGAATATCCTGATCGGCAATTGCCTTTGATGCAGCGGAAGTAGGCTTGGACTTGGTAGTCTTCTTCGGTGGTTTCGTGTCGCGGTCAAGGCCAGAGAAGAGCTCGTCAACGTCAACGTCGTCACCAGCCGCAGGTTTGGTCTTTTTCGACGCCATGATTGCAAATCGTATCTCAGAATGTATAAGAGCGTAGTGGTTTAGGAATTGCTCAGGGACTATCGAAGGCTTTCGCGGTGATGATTTGTCGAAGACGGGGGTTGAAAGAAAGTAGGTTGTTTGGCGCAAATAGATATGGAGGAGGTGGGTTGGAGCTTTGGAGGAAGGTACAGTACAGAGTACAGACAGCTGCAAGGGTCCGCAAAGGCAGAAACAGCAGGGAACACGTGCGTTGCCGAATGGAATGGATACCTACCTGCCTACAAACCACAGTTACACCACCGGGACATGAGTAGCCGGATATTTTAATTTAATGAATATGTTGCATAAATTCGATGATTTGATTAGATATTAATGATATCACTGCCTTCCTTTGAAGAATTCCGGTTTGAAAAAGCATCAAGGTGTAATGAATGGCTCATGTGCTGAAACATGTACTTGATGGTTACCCACCGAGATGCCTGATTCTGCGTGTTGCAAGCCTCACCTATAACTCAGCCCAAAGTACTCAGAAAGTACAGTCATTGGTTCACCTGTGACTTACACAGCCAAACAACCACTAACACGCAGTGATTTACAGCAGACGACACGGTCATGCTCTTTCCTGAGTTGTACTAGCGCTGGGCAAGTCCGTATGATTTCATAGTATCTGATTGGCCTGGAGGAACCCCGGAGAAGGGGTTGCTGGGGACTGGTACGTACCGACGGTTTCCCAGGTCCCTGAGCCTTGTGAGAGAGTGGCCTTCAGTGGCCAGGATGCCACTAACAGCAAGGCCCCAGGCGGGTCTGGTCTAGCCTTGGCTGGCTTATTCGGACCACGACACCTTGAGAAAATCGACGGGCAGAGACCAACATCAGAGCCAAAAGGAGACTGACTGTCTTCATCACTCACCCGCGACTCTTGTCGTATATTGGCACTCCTGGTTAGACCATCGCAACGTCGCTGTATCAAAGGCATTGAAGTCAAACCCTTTATTGCTGCTAGTATTGTTAGACACCTTTGTCTTTCATTTTACTTTGCCGTCTTGTGTTTTTGCAAGTACCTTACTACCCATTGCCGCCAATTCCCTGTACTTCAAAATTCTTTCTCTGCCCTGGCTTGTTTCTCTTACTCCATCCGACACGCTCATCTCATTCATTCATATCCACGCACTTTGAGCCTCATCCTCCTTGGTCTTTGTCCTTCCATTGCCTTGTCCTCAATTTCAGACTGCCCTGCTCGTCTTGCGGACATTTGTTATCCACCCCCAACACTGCGCACTAAGCTTGCCTCTGTCTGTGGACTCACTCGCATGACGCCTCTCGCGGGCCCGGCTGGTCGCTACACGTCCTTGCTGTAACATCCCAGCCTCACCTCAGAGCCTGTCTTGACTGACAATGGACCGCTCGCGCCGAATGCCTCAACGTCGTCGCCCTTTAGGAGCTTCAGCTTCTCCTACCTCTACTTCAGAGGCTTCTTTTGACTTGAATCCACTCACAAGCCCTGTTGTTGCTCAGACTAATACCACGCCTGGTGGTCGCCGCTCAACCAAACCCCTTCAGCACGCCTTCACTTTCTCACCTCCAGGTAGTAGTCGTAACTCAAATTCCAAGAGGCGATCTACAACTATGGAAAACTTTCCAATTCCAGACGAGGGTGAGCATGGTCCCAAAAAGGGCGGCCACAGTCTCCGTAAGCGTGCTCGTGTAGATTACACCTTTGAGCACATTGACGACGATGTCGTCGTTCCCAACTCAACATCTTCAGCACGCGGCAAGAAACGCAGGTCAGAGATAAATTTTGACACGGATGACTTTTACACAAATGACTCAAAGAGAAGAGGCGCCTCCATGGGTGCTGACACTCCATCAAGCCGTCGGAGGAATGCGACACGCAAACCCAGTGACCTCAAAGTATTTCATCAGGCTGCTTTGCAGGATGACGATAACGAGGTCCAAGACACCATCGAAGTCGGTGCATACTACTCAGATGTTGACGACTCAGAGCTTAGAGAAGGTGCTGCTTCGAACAACTCATCCCCCCAGTCAAAGATGTCACCAAAAAATTCACCAAAGAAATCACCTCAAATCGAGTCGGCCAAAAATGAGTTGCCAGCGCCGCAATTCACTAGCAGTCATCAAACTGAACCTTCAACAGAAAACACTGCCCCCGTTCCTGAACTGGGTCAAATCCTTTCAGAAAAAGTGTATCCTGTTGTGGAACATATAAGTGACTCTATTGAGGAACCTGTATCTCAGCCTGCAAAGACGCAAGCCGAAAACTTTCCTAACGTGGAACCCGAGCCGGAAAAATTTAATGATAACCAGCAACAGCCTTCAGCTGTAGCGAATACTAATGATGTAACGGCAGAGTTGCAAGTAACAATGCCAAGTACAGAATCTAAGCCAGCTTCCACGGCAGCAGTGCCAGCTATCAGTGTCAAAACAGAGCAGGTAGACCACGAGCCAGTCTCCTTACCCGTGCCAGTGCCAGTGCCAGTGCCAGTGCCAGTGCCAGCGCCAGCGCCAGTGCCGGCACCGACAATAGCACCGCCGCCGATTATAGCTGAGGAGAATAATCAGAGTGAATCTATTCATTCACGTATTGTTCATGCACCCAAACCTGAGCCTGTAAACGACATTATGGAGCTCCCCGCTGCTGAACCTGTTCCGCAAAATAATCCCGAACCCAATTTCTTCACCACCAACACCAATATCGAGGAAGAACCGTCTCATCAGCTAACTGTTGAACAAATACCCGAATCACCAGACCGGCTGCCAAGCCAGCACCAAGACGACAGAATGGACCAGATGGATATAGATCCAGTTCAAGAAGAGCCACCCGCTCAAGATGTCGAAATGACTGATGCCGCTACCAACGAGACTCAAGCTGTTGAGAAAAATGTATCAACGCCTCCACCGGAGCCTGCACCTGTGCCTACATCTGCACTTGCACCTTTATCTGTCGACTTACCATCGCCATTGCCATCAAAAAGTACCCATTCATCGCCAAAGTCCCCTGCCAAATTGCGGTCACCGTCACCAGCTCGGGAACCTGATCAACCGCCTCAAGATAATATGGCTCCGCCACAAGAGGATACAGCTTCACCTCAAGAAGTCGGCGTTGGTGACATATCCATGTCCGTAGAGTTGGACAACGACTTAATTGAGGCTGAGAAGGTGAATAACGAAAGTGTCGTGAACAACGAGAACACCGGGGGTAATGAGGACAATGAGGACAATGAGGACAATGAGGACAATGAAGACAATAAGTCTACCGAGGCACCAATCCTTACCGACGAGCCCCAGATCCCCGATTTAACTCAGACTCCTGTCACTCAAGAGGAACCTGGCACTCTCTCGAGCCCTATCGAACTGAAAGCTCCGACTCCCCCTCCTGCTGAAACTATTGAAACCCCAGCGTCTTCTGCGCCTTCGGAACCAAAATCAAGTCCTCAAAAATCTGTCGCTTCTCGAGTTCCTTTAGAGCTGATGCCACAGCCTACCCCGGTCGGCCGCTGGTCTCATCTCAAGCCTTATGTCGATGGCGAGTTCTTGCTGTACCCAGAAAAGAAGGGCGGGGATGAGGACGGCGCAAATGACGATGCGACCCCGGAAGGAAAGGACACTGATCGAGAAGGTGCTGACATGGAACCTATGGTCGACGATCAAGATGACGCAGGACTTGAAGCACCCACACCCGCGCTCAACACACCTACTCGTGGCTCCCCTATACCAGACTCCTTAGACCCGACAGCCCTCAATTCGCCTGCTCCTGCTGGTGATGATGCTGATGATGCTGACGCCTCCGAATCTCAAGATCCTCTAGAGCGCACTCGATACTATAAATATCGCAAGCTAAGGGATCCCGAAGAGTATATCTCGGCCATCGAGAATTACGAGGATATGCCCACCGAAGATCTTTATGAGCTTCTTGAAGCTATTAATGTCTCTTTGGTCCAATGGCAAGACGAGTGGAGTGATCTGGGAGCAATCGTCGACGACTACGAAAACTCTCTTCGTCGACGAGCAGCTGATTCGAAGTACGAAGCCCGCACTCGTAACCTTCACCAACACGGTGTCAACTATGAGGAGCCTGAATTCGCCGTCAAGGGCTACAAGTCTCGTGACAAGGAAGGTCTGACTGAGACTCGGTATCTTCAAAGTCAGGATCGCATCATGGCCGCTACTTACGGCTTTGAGTATGATCCTCATCCTTCAAAAATTGGCAAACAAAATCCCGAGACACAACAGGTTGGGGTCATGACACGCGGCCGATCTTTGCGGAATCAGCCTAGGCAGACTGCCAAGGCCACAGAGACCGACGAGGTCGTCGGCAAACGCCAGCGCAAGCCTGTTCAACTCTTCGATCCTGCGACACAAGATGTCAGCAGGAGCTCGACACCCGTACCCACTCGCGGCGGTGGTCGACGACGCAAGAATGCCAACGCTGAGGACGAGCCACAGACCAACCTTGCAGTCAGCTTCAACAGCGAGGTTCCCTCGGACGGTGAGGGCCCAAAGACCAGGCGCAAGCGTGGCACTCGCGGCAAGAATGCTATACTAGTAGAAGACGCCGCGCCTACTCCAGATGCCGATGAAGTAGCCCAAGACGAGCCTGCAAAGCCCACTCGCCGTGGCCGTGCCAGACCTGCTGTCAAGTATGAGGAGGCCGATCCCAACGAATTCGTCGACGACGAGCCACAGGAAGAGGAAGAGGAAGATGAGCCAGAGGAAGAGGAAGTTGAGGAAGCGGAGAAAGAGAATGAGGAGAAGCCACCAGTCCGTCGGCATATTGTTACTCTCAAACTCCCCAGTGGCTACTTTGCTGAGTTCACGCCTGAGATGGAAATTGTCGACAATGGTGATTCCCGTCCAACTACCGCCTGCTCTGAGGAATCTTCTCAAACTGCCGAGTCGTCTTACTCCTTCCGGCCTAAACGGCAGAGGAATTTCCGCGACAACCCTGATGGAGGTGAAGACTCAAGCCAAGCGCCGCCCAAGAAGAGAATCAAACGAACAAGCGGCGGTACCGCTGTCACCGAGACTCCATCTGCTGCATCCACACCTGCCCCATCTACTGAGCCGGCACAAGTCCTCAGCAACCGCAAGATTCAGAAGATCAAGGTTGTCAGGTCTAGCCAGGACACCAAGAATGGAGGAACACCTCAAGCACAGCAAGCACCACCACCGCCCCCTCCCCCCCAGCCTGCTACTCCTACCCCTATTCCGGTTGATGACAATGATGATACTCCAAAAGACTACAAGTCCATGACTAAATCCGAAAAGATGTCGGCCTCTATGAAGAGTAAGTTATTGAGCCGGTTGTTTTACACTTTCCACGAACTAACGTGATGTAGATCGTTGGGCCAACGGAAACATGGCTGGAGCCGTTGAAAAACGCAAAGCGACCCTGGCGGCTAAGAAGGCTGCTCAAGCGGCAGCCGAGCAAAGAACAGGTGTCGTCGCTCCGAAGCCGAAAGGCAAGGCCCCTATAAAGAGAGAGTCTACTCTCAAGATGCAGATGGCACCAGAACAGCCCCAGATGCCACCACAGCAGCAGCAGCAGCCCCCGCCGCCCCCGCCCATGATGCATCAGCAACCACCCATGCACCCTCACCATCATCACCATCACCAATATCCCGTGCACCATCAACACCCCCAGCATCACCATCAGCACCCTCCTCACCCAGCTCATCTACAGCAGATGCACCAGCCTCCTCCTCAACATCTTCCACCTCCCCCTCCTCCGCCGCATCAGCCTGGAAACCCACCTCCTCCCTTTATGCATGGGCATGGCCAACATCCTAACCATGGACATGGCCACGGCATGCCGGGTATGGGATATCCCTATTAACAATCAGGTTACGGCCACTGGTTATAAATGGGTCCCCTAAAGTGGTGTTTGGGATTGATGACGTTCGGATCATGTCTACAAAAAAACAAAAAAAAACCTAGCAACAAAATGCCACTTATCATATATGTGGCCTCTAGCACGCTGGCTCGATACCACCTCACCGAACACCAAGAAACAAGCACAGTCTCTCAGCATACAGCCGTTCCGTATACTACAAATATCAAGAGAGGTTGTTTTGGATCCTGCTTTCGTTTTTCTTGTACACTAGATGCGAAAAAAAAAATTCGTCGTCTTTTTTCTATTGTTTTCTTGCTTTTTTTTTTTTTAATGTTGTTCTTAAATCTGCATCAGTGGGGGAGGGGGAGGCTTTGCATAATCGTTCGGCATTATATGGCGACTGCCTCAACTTGGGAGGCTTAACGTTGAGAAGGGAAAAAGGAGTGGCAAGCGTAGTAGCAAGCACCCAAAAGAAGACCTAATGTTCAAGTTATATATACTATCGGTTCCATTTCTTGTGAATGTTTGTTTTATAGCTTGATATCAAACTAGGTGTGATTGTACTTCTCAAAAATGGATCAAAGTCAAAGAGATAACAATAATCTATACGGAGATATTCATTGGCCAAAAACGTATGTTGAGATTCGTTGCTACCTGCATATCATCGATGGTGCAGCCAGTATCCGCTAATGCAGTTCATCTTCTCAGACTGCAAGCCGGCGGTTCTTTTGGAGACGGATGACATTCGAATCGAAGTACTTTGTGAGTAGTTTTTATCCATAAAGGACTTACAGTGGGGAATGCAAATCTACTCTGGCTCACCAAGAACAGCCTTCGTAGTGAGTTACTCGACTTGGTGAAAGGCACATTCAATCAAGATATTTGGTAATTTAACAGACATCACCACATAACAGAATCACAAGGTCAACGGCGAGGAGAATTGCACATATTTGAACCCCAAAAACAGAACACAACGCCCAGGGAGAATCCTTTTGAAGTGACTTTTGTTTTGTCCTTGATGTGAATGCCTGGTATGTGAATCATCCTTACACGCCGCAACCGAAATGCAAGAGCCTTGTGCCAATCCAGCGACTTTAAAAGTAGTAGATAAAAAGAACATTCCCCTTTTCGCCTTCCCCTAGACCCGGGCAGATGAAAAAAGAATAAGAGTCTTGGGGAAGGGGGATAATGTTTCTTTACCGCGCTCTATCTGATCGCATTCGGGACAGAAACCCAACCACCACGCACCGCACGCCCTTTTGTCTTTCCTTGATTTCCTTTCGCAAGCAAGCACCTTACATGACGACACCGGAGTTGCTGGCAATACGCTGGGAGTTGTTAGCGCGTGATATGACGGTGTAGTCGAGAGAGAACTTACGGGCCACAACTCAGCAGCCTCCTTACCGACGGGGCCGGTAATGGCGGAGCCCTTCATCTCACCCTTGGGGTTGACGATCTACAAAGCATGTTAGTTATCCAGCTTCTAATATTTATACTTGGATCAAAACATACAACACCGGCGTTGTCCTCGAAGTACAGGAAGACACCGTCGAATCGCTTCCAGGGCTTGGACTGTCGGACGATAACGGCGGGGTGGACCTTCTTTCGGAGCTCAGGCTTTCCCTTCTTGACGGTGGCCATAACCATGTCACCGACACCACCAGCGGGCAATCGGTTCAGGCGAGCACCAATACCCTTGACGGCAATGATGTAGAGGTTTCGGGCACCGGAGTTGTCGGCGCAGTTCATGACGGCACCGCTGGAGAGGGAGTCAGTTTGCTGAATCGGATGAGTGATAGGTGGAAGGAATCGTACACAGGGAGACCCAGGGTCATCTTGAGCTTGCCACCAGGGGCACCACGCCTGTGGAAAGCATGTCAGTATTCTGTTGTCTTTTTTTTTTTTTTTTTTTTTTTTTTTTTTTTTTTTTTTTTTTGAGATTTTCGTCTCTCGGTCTCGGTCCCGTTCTCGCTTCTGAGTTGAATTTTTCTCTGCCAGAATTGTCGGATGGTGCAAATGTTCAACAGCGTTTGCTTGCCGGGCTGTTGGATTCGAAATCGAGTGGAGAAAAATTCAAGACCAAAGAGGCATGAATAGCGTTGTCAGATAGTGGTGCCGTATTCTCGATGGCTGTTGTCGTTGTTCGTTGTGTGCGTTGACACAAAATTCGGCTCGATGTTCCCCGCCAAACCGCCACCTTGGAAAGAATTTCCAGCTCTTTTGCGCATCGGGCGCTCCATCACCGAACAAGTTGACAGAGACGATACAATACGAGAAGCGAGAACGAGAGACGAGTCCTATAATGAGTCCGCAGAGGAGGTTACTTACGAGATCTTGGCCATTGTGTCTGAAGGGTTAGTGTGGCGTTACTTCGTGAAGATGTCGTGTCGTGCCGGGTCTCGAGATGCCGTGAACAAACAGTAGCTCTTTCGTTTTCAGTCGAAATTGTTTTTCGTGGGGGAGAAACCCTAGACGAGGCAGGTGGGATAAATGCACGTGACTGAGTTGCACCTGCCCAAAGTCAAATTGAGGGTCGCACCAGAGCCAATCAGGGCTTGCTTTGAGTTAGGCGCAATGAAGAACAAAGAATGATAACCACGAAAAAGCCAAGGTTATCGATCTACAGAGCTCAAGACTATTTAATTCGGTTTTATTGAGTTTTATTTACTATATTCCAAGAGAAATTTCATATGACCTTCCGGTAAGATAGATGTTTTATTGAAGACCAACCTGCCAAGATTCGATTCAGAAATTGACCTGATCCCCGGCTTTATTCCCGATTGAACCCTCACCAACAAAGCCCCAGCGAACCACACCAATCGTTCCCACTAAAACCAGCCTCCATCACACACTTCCAAAGAATCCTTGACTACATATTCATTATTTTCAAGTCGCCCTCCAACAAAAACGGGCTTGATCACCCGGCGAAGCACGCCCGGTTAGCTCAATCGGTAGAGCGTGAGACTCTTACGAGTACGCGATCTCAAGGTTGCGGGTTCGACCCCCGCATCGGGCTGTTCCTATAATACATATTCAATGATTGAGATGTGCTTTCTTTTTGACGTTTTTGCGTATATATTTGAAGTAGGTAGTGGCGGTGGGAAACTGGTTGAGACTGTTGATAACAATCATGACGTTGGGATTGGTTGTTTATCTCCTGCTAATGTCATGACTGACAAGTGCTATATTTTCCTTCTCATTTTATTTGAACATTCATTTATCTCTTGGGTGCTTCTGTTCACTGGAATTGAGTTGAGTCAGACATGTAAGTGCTAAGAATATGCGACAATCTATCTACCCTGGAACAAGTGATGAATGTCCAATATCTTGATCTGCATATCAGAGTCCGGTTATGTCATAAGTTTAAGTTAGCCAATGGGTTGATAAAAATTACTTTCTTCTTATTCCATCCTTCAAATCTTTTACGAAGTTGTATAAATATCGCCAAATCGTCAGAGCTACCGGAACCCGCCAGGCTGTCCGGTGATTCGGAGCCGATCTTCACCCCACCGCATCGTGAAGTCCGGACCTCGGCTCGCTGTCCTGCAAGTCCTCACATGCCCATCTCCAACAGTTCAGCTAGTATTACTCCGCATTCGCTGGCTACGTTGTATATGCCTGCAAATCTCTTTACCTAGTACTCATGTCTCTGCTGTTTCGCGCCATCAGGCGCTCTCTGTCGCGACAACCCCTTCGTGATACCAATATCGCCCCTCATAAGTGTAATCATTTCCCCAGACCCTATCTGCCTCTCATGTATTTTCGACAAGAGTCATCGTCAGCAAATAAACCTCCACCTTCAATTCCAAGACCAAGTTCCTCCGTACTCCTTGTGTCGCCGGCTAATGAGGTTCTCCTGCTTCACCGCGTCCACACGTCTTCTTCGTTTGCATCGGCCCATGTCTTTCCAGGTGGAAATTTAGACCCTTATCATGACGGCGCTATCCCCGAGGAAGGCTCGCCAGAGAGGCACCAGGACGGGCTGGCATACAGGATAGGGGCAATTCGAGAGACGTTTGAAGAAACAGGTATCTTACTAGCAAGAAAGGACAACGAGCTCATAAATCTGGATGTCAAGGACAGAGACGCTGCGAGGAAGATGATCCATGGAAACCAAGTCAAGTTTCTGGAATGGCTCAAGTCAGTGGGAGCTGAGCCAGATCTTGGTGAGATGAGCAATCACTGCACAGAAAGAAGCGTTATTGACAAAACACAGATGGCCTCATTCCGTTCACACGTTGGGTCACACCAGCAACCAACAACAAGCGCTTCACGACGCAGATGTATCTGTACATGCTTCCACAGTCACGCAGCGATATGCCATCTGAGATGCTCATCCCAACACCCGACAATGGGGTCGAACACACGGCCGCGCTCTTCGCACCAGCGCAATCCTTCCTCTCCCGTGCCTCCACCAACAGTATAATTCTCTTCCCACCACAGTACTTCCTCCTAACACTGGTTGCCAAGATCATAAAGAGTCCTTCAGGAGGAACAGGACCACATCAAATTTCAAAACAGCGGGAGCAGCTACTGTCCTTTTTGAAGCAGGTGCCCACAGCAGAGACAGAGAAGGGCAAGCAACACAAAACATCTATGATTCCCTGGGCCGACAAAGTCATGAGCCCGCATAATCTGTTCATAAGGAAACAGGACAAGAGGATTGTATTAGGAATAGACAAGCCAGGACCAGAGCTCAGAGACTCAGAAAGAGGAGGGGATTGGGAGCATGTGGTTCTCGTCAATTTCGGCAAAGGCGGACCGACCAGCGTCGAAGTTAGGGGAAGAGAGGAGGCCTTGGAAGAAGAGAGACAGAGTAAAGCTCAAGAAGAGAAGCTATGACTGGAGCGACGCGGTTGTAAGTTTGAAAGTTTTCCTCTACGACAACACAAGAGCCACTACAAGAAAGGAAGAGTGGTTCGTCTGTACAAGTGGGTAGAGTGAGCGGAAGTTCAGAATAGACAAGATAAATCAACAACAACTGTTTTAAAATAGCTGGCTCCGCCTATCACATGGTATATGTTGTATAGTATGTGGGAGTGAGTTACAGGCAGCCGTCACTTCGGATGAAATATTGAGATCGGACACAAGGAGGTTAAAATGCAGGCAGTTATAGAATAGAGGTTTAGTCTTAGATACAAGCCAGGAGAAAGTAAATTCACAAGTAACTAGATTACGGAAAGAAGATTGTCTAGATTCATCGGCTCACAACAAATATCTCAACGGGTATCATACAAGCACATTCACCCCCAATACACACCATCTATAGTCTTCCAAACTAATATAGTCTTGGTTAACTCACCATCTTTTTTTTGCTGGTGGAGCATCTATCTACATACCACGAACATTTTGGCTCCAGTGGTGCCAATTAAAATCTTCCCCAAGCATGTCGATATCATCCATACCCGCTGTTTGATCATAGTTTGGGTTCATGGTCGGGTAAGAACCATCCCAGAGATAGGGCGGCGGGATCTCGTCTTTAGGTAGTTGCATAGACTGGGGTTGAAACTGCTGACCCATGTCTAATACTTGCGTCGTTTGTGGTTGCGGCATCTGGGCAGTTGTAGTCATGGGCGTTGCCGCAGTATTCATGGCCTTCATCTGGGCTGCACCGACGTCGTTCATTGGCCAGAAGCCTGCCATGTTGAAGTTTGTGCCCTGTGCCATCATATCGTTCATAAAGTTCATTGTCGTATCCGAGAGATCAAAGCTTCCTGGAATATCGTTGACTGACGGTGTCCGAGGGCGAGATGGGATTTGTGCTTGTGTGGGTTGGGGTATTTCTGGCAGTGCCACAGGACTGAGCTCAGCTGGGGTAGACGTCGGTATGTTACTTCCGTCAGCGCGTACCAGATACCTCCATTTTCCCCTGATCTCGTCCATCTTGTTGACATTCCGATCAGTTTCCTGTCCAAATCGAGTTTGGTACCTAGGGTTTGTCCTTTCTTCAAATTCCAACCGACGAGCTTCTTCGGGGTTGTTGCGAAGCCGGATAATCTCTGCCGCACGGTGTCTTTGTGCTCTCAAGTAAAGTTTCCTTATAGGCATCACGACAGATGTATTGTCGCCAGATTTCACAAGCTGCGCTGGGTGATCCTCATACCCATTGATCGCTTCCCAACCACGCTCCACGAGAGGGGTCCATGGCCGACGGCAACTGGCTATGAGAAAGTAGGCCATGGCAGACCAGTTGGTGTAGGTTTTGAACAACCACCTAAACTGCTTACATCTTGTATCGTTGCTCAATATGTGATTGTATTCCGCGATTTCAAGTGCTGCCAAGTAGGCTCGCTCTCTCGCCTCATCTGAAAGCGCACCTTCTCCCTCGGAACCAGGGAAGAGTACTGGCTGATATATAACTAGAGTCATCTTGGCCATAATAATACGAGCGATCGAGGCCGCCATCCAATACAAAGGATCAGTGTCGGCCGTGACGTGCTTCAGAAATTTGTGCTCAACCCTCCGATAAACGTCGATGAGCATGTTTTCTCGTTCAGCAAGAGTAGTGTTTTCGAAAGGCATGCCTTTGGGACAGAATGACATGGATGCAGATGAAAGTCGAACAAGGCGCCTGCCGAACCCTGCAATCTCAAAACGAACGATCGCCACCGCACAATCAGAATGGCCTTCTCTGGGCTCAGGAGCCTCTGTTGAGTCGGGCTTGATGTCAGCATCGTTGATGTTGCTTGGCATCTGCGTGTCATAGTCCGAAATAATAAGGTCGGTACCCAACTCATCGGCCGACCGAAGGTCCAATAAGAGTAATGACCACCAGAGACGTCTCCGCATCTCCGTCTCAAAGGGGCTCAACCCAAAATGTGATCCATCGCGGTGAAGACCCATGCCCTGAGCCAGGTGAGCTACTAGACCTGTCAAAGACCAACAGAAGCGGCTTCCATCTTGGCCCTTAACTACAAGAAGGAAGATGAGCAAAGCTTGCATAATCGGAGTGTCTAACGAGTTGAGGAAGTTGGCTTTGGCGAGCGCCTGTTCAACGGCGAAACGGTACTGTACAAGGACATCCTCTTTGTTGACACCAAGATTGGCTCGAACCTGTATCCAAGTTAGCATCTCTTGTCGTTGTAGCTGATGACTTTGCTATACCTCATCAGGGTCTAGTGATGTTATTGCGGCGTAGTATATCGCCCAGACTAGTGCTTCGTTCCCAGGGGAGAGCTGTTTGTGGTCCCTTCTCGCATCTCGAAAAACCGGCTCCATAGTGGGTATATGAAGCACCTTAAGCAATGGCTCCACGTTCTCCTGGTATACAGACCACAGGAATGGGATGACTGTCGGCATAGGCCAGTATTTGTCCAAATCAACCTCTGTGGAGCGATATCCGAAAATGAAAGCATTATGGTTTGCCGAGAGCGTAGCTGCGGGTGAACTATCTGGCGTTTCTTCTATGTCGGATTCGTCAAAGTCTTCATCGGTGAGTCTTTGTGTTTCTTCTCGTATCGAGTCGAGCTGGTTTTACAAGTCAGCTACAAGTTTACAACGATTTGATATAAACCAACCTCGTCATTAAGTTTTGCCCAAAGTCCATGACTGACGTATTTTCGACTTCCGCTGGTATCGTTGTCGTTCAAGACTAACCGACCAAACTTTTTATGCATACTTTTGCGGGTACTCTCGCTCTGCTCACTTATAGCCTCGCTGCCTTGCGGGCTTTCACCAGTGATTCTGGCATTACCTTGCTGTGAGGACGCATTTGACAGGTGTCGTTGGGTATTATGTGCTGAGGTGTCAAAGGAATTGATTTGACCTGGATGCACAGCTTCAGGCGAACTGGCTGATGATTGACCTTTGCCCCCTGACTCAACCTCGATCTGACCGCTTAATTCTTCTACGATTCCCTCCAACTTCCTCAGTCTCTTCATCAACTCTATTTCACGTTGGCTTGAGTTTTTGGGTGGCGCATTTGGGTCTTTTCGGCGCGGCTGCCGTGGTGCCCTTCCGGGAGCGGGAAAGACACATGGGATCTGTGCTCGACGACAGTTGGAACAAGGCATCTGCTTGTCGCAACGAACTTTCCGGCGGCGACAGGTTACGCATGATCGCGGGTTCAGGGCGGGGGTATTGCTTCCGGGTTGCTGGATCGGGCTTGTATGGGCATCGGGACCTGTTGTTTGATAAACAGTAACGTTGCCTTGAAAAGAAGTCGGCTGGGTGTGGAAGGAGGCATCTTGGTGGGATATGGATGACGGCGACGTTGTGTACTGTTGTGCAGAGTCAAGCCCCTCAGACATGCCGACGTTGTTGAAGCCGGGTCCAAGGGATAAACCATCCATGTAGTTGGACATTGTCGTGTTACGTTGGCCAGACGCGCGCGATGATAACGATAATCGAGTCACGGTAATGAGAGTACGTGGGGTAGGTCAAAAGAACAGGCGAATAGTTTGCAGACGGGTGCCGTGGGCTTGGAATGGACGGAATGCGGGCGAGAGGCCATCAACGACCAGGTGCGGTAACGCAGGCGAAACCCCCACTGTCAGGTAAGATGTCAAGTCTCCAACAGACTTCCGTCGCAAAGCCAGAAGGGGCCAAGAAGAGGCTGAGAAGGCTGTAGCTGTGAAACATAAGAGACGATGCGGGACGGGGACGTTGGCGAGAGACCCTGGGTCTGGGTATGGGTACCTGAAAGAGAATGAGTTGGTGGGGAGTTTGAATGGATTGCTAGGTCGCGTTGTATTGACGATCCCTGGGGTGCCGGCCCTGCCTTGGCACCAACTGGACGCCCGTCAAATAAACGAGCCGGCCGAGCTGACAGTGACAGTTGGTAGTAGTACAGTACCAAGTTAGTGTTAGTAAGTGGCAGGTACTGTACTGTGCTGTACCCAACCAGCCAAGGTAGCACCTGGCGGACAACCCTCACTAAAATTCCGGGGACTTTCTTCCATGTTGTCATTTTCCTACCTAGTAGGGTCGTAGGGCAGAATAGCATGGAATGTACGGCATGGGGGTCAACGCTAACAACCTGTCTCAGAGCATACAGAACCTGCACGAGACCTGATTTTCTATTTGATGGCTTCGTTCTATGATTATTCATTGATATCGGCCAAGTCAGCACTAACTCCGCGTTCGGTATTAGCACTAAAGACGAGAGTCTGTTGTTGTCGTCATCAAAGAATTGCGTCTGATCTGAGCCATGCCTGTGCTGCAGAGTCTGTGCTACAACCAACGGTTCTCTCGATGATATCGATAACTATAAACTGTAAACTTTATAGTTAATCCCGTCATTATTTACCATGTAGCTGGGTGCAAAAATCGTGAAATTGTTTGCGGTATTGGGCTCCCCCAGCCTCCGAAGACCCCCATCCGTCTGCAGAGGAGAGGGGTTCCATGAACTTGTCATAACGTCTAAACTAACGTTTTAAGAATGTCAAGTCAATGCACTCACTATTGGTTATAATCAGCCAATAGTCGACGGAGACTGACAATATCACCGAGCTCATGCCATTAACTGGACGTTGCTTTCTTGAGCCTCGATGTTATACGCCTTCTACTTAAGCTGTTGAGCAACCCGGTTCGCCCGTCATTTTGGCTGAACTCAAGTAAATATGTAAGCAATTTAAGAATGCCGTTGATCTTCACATGCAAAAGCGGAGTTCCAGTAGCAATGACGTCTAGTTAAAATCGAAGTTTGTACTTACCAACCTGAGGATCTATGCTTACACTTAGTTCGCCAGGATGGACCAAGCTTATCAGCACAACAGCCCTTACGGCATTTGATATCACGAACCACCATTAGGACGGCATTTCTTTTCGCAACATGATGCTTGACATGAAGTCATTTAATTAAACTGGTGGGGTTTATGACATATCACAATTCGATTGCCTTGCATTGATCGGCTCTTACAAAAGCGAGATCGCTTTCCGCACGTTATGATAGTGGCTTCGAAGGTTTGAGGCAACCCAGATAGTTGGTATCACTTGACACATCCCGCTAGATTACATGGGATGTTACGTCAATTGAAAGATGCGATTGGTAGTCTGCAATGCCGTGAATATGCGGCTTTCTCCTGACAGCTGAATTGAACACATCAAAACTCACTTGGCGTGCGATATGTCTCCCGAATTCCTTATCTCACTTGGCTAGATTGTGTCCTCGGAGCAGCTGATCACTTGATGGTGGCATACCAAGCAAATAGAATGGTTTGTCTTCTTGAAGTAACACTCCCTGATCAACTGTCCTGAAGAATTCAAGATGCTTGCTCGTTGACGGTTCAACGAATTGATCTGGGGTGATTAAACCCTGATATTATACAGTACGGCCCCACCAAGGCCGGAGCGGAGTATGAATCAAAGCCGAATATCTTGGGCTTGAGAAGCCGCATCGGAGCCGGCGACTCTACAGTATCAGCAATGTGGCCCCTCTTCTGGATGAATTCTTTGTTGGCACAATAATATTGGCTCAAATCATGGTCACAATCAGGTCGCTTTAGCTCTTGAGCTAGTGCACCAACGCAACCCTTTGCGCCGCGATACTTGCCAGCATTCCCACCTGACATGAGCTCCAATATTCTGCCACTTTCCCCTCTATAGTTCTGATCCTCGCTCAATGGCGCGGCACAGGGAGTCAATGCAGTATGAGATCTTTGCTCAGCTGCCCTACTTGGATAAACATTCCACCACTGAGGGACCGACAAGTAAAAGTCTTATGGCGAGTATGGTGAATAACGGTCTGAGACACCGAATCCGGTGAAGTTGTGGGCGCCAATCTTTCGAAGCAGAGCCTCACTCTTGCCACAGCTATGAGATGTGATTCAGCATCACCTATGAGTGACGCCAGTTCGGGAGACCGGACTGTAGCATTGCCAAGTAAATATTGCCCACTGATTCGTTGGCTTAAATGAGGGTCGGCTGTTGGTGTGGTCTGTTTATGCATGTCATGGATGTAGTTAAGGGTTTCCAAAGGCTAACCGGGCCGTTGGCGGGGTTCAACCGTCGAAGCTTGGGTGAAATTGGAAGCATGACCGTAGACCAAGATGGAAAGTCGCAATCAAATCCCTGTGGCATGATAATGGTTTCCCCATAGATCAAGAAGATGGAAACCAGATCTAGCAAACAGAACTGGAAGGATAGATCCGTCATCGAGATTTCACCGGTCCATTGCCCCATGAAAGACCCCATACACCAGGGAAGTTAGCTGCAGTATTCGAGATGCTTGATGAGCTGTCATGATCTACCACAGAGGTGGACGGTCAACCTTTCCAAGAAGTTTGCAACCATTACCTAGGGTCATGACAAGGACCCCGATGTGCTAACGGCATCCTTTTCCCCGATAAGGTATCCGAGCTGTTATGCGTCGACAGCGCAGCCGTCTCATGTGCCCCAAATTGGCTTTCTTAACAGCGCAAGCCAGGCCCCCGAGTCGTCATTGGCGCATCATTTGCACCATCAGATGCATCGCGGGTAGACCGATAAAAGAGCCACACCCCATCGCGGTAGGAAAGAAAGGATGCAGCGTCGTCCTGCTTAATGGTGTGATCTAGTAGAATAGAAAGGCAAGAGCAGAGCCGCAACTGATGTGGTGTGATATCATTGGTGTCTGGTGGTATGGCTCATGATCGAAGTATCGAAGGCCGGTCCTGATGAGGTTGTGCTGTAGCAAGCGAGAGATACACCTTGGTAGTAAGACTACCACAGCCTGGAAATATAAATTAGTGACTTGCCGACCCCCCAAATCAGGACCTTTTGTTCTAACAACCAAGTCATTCTCACGATTTCTTCTGTACGCACCCAAAACCTGCCAGTATTTAGCAAACCTCACCATCGTCATAAGAATCTCCAAACATCATTGAATCAGCATGTCTGACCAATCTCCGTAAGATCTCCCGAAAAGCTCTTGTTTTGCAGCACTAATAGCAACAGTATGGAAAGGTGGGAGAAAGGGCAGGAGTTGCCTGATGTTTGGGCACAACAGGGATCAAACAAGAAACCTGAGAAAAGCAAGACACCTGAAAAGAAGAAGTAGACTGAAGGAAAGAATATGGATTGATACCCGCGCCGGCGCACTTGGACATGAAGGGAGGGACCAGAATGTGTATGCGGGAGGATGCCTCTGAGAGGCGACCCTGTCGTTTATAACTGTATTCATCATCGTTGTCGTATAAACATAAAGCTCGTCTTTGTCTAGTTGCATAGTGAGTACAGACTCTTCCAATTTTCCGACCAGCCTCGCCAAAAGTCATGGCAGGATATCGGACGCCATGTTGAATAGAAAAAAAGCAAAAAGAAACAACGCATGTGAAAGTAGACAATGATGCTGATATAGTAATGCCAGAGAAGGAACGCCATACTCGCCATCGAGTTTTATTAAAATCGCTTTCGTTCTTTGCCACGGTGGTTTTCTCGCGCCACGCAACATACACTTTTAGATTCGCACCATTTCTTCACATCGTTGGGGTTCACCTCTCCATCATAACCCACTCGATTAAGCTCGCCTGTATTAAGCCATGTTGCGAGGTCCTCCAGTATGATGGGTTCGTAAAGAAGTATTTTTTCATTCCATGATGGTTTTTGCGGGTCTGTAGTCCGTGGAGTGGACTTGACAGCATTGGTGATATGCTCAAACAGAGCCACCTCCTCTTTGGTATGCGTGACTGCAAGGATTGACTCTGTGTCATCATTTGTTGTGATAGATATATCCAACGGGGCCGAAGAAGGAAAGGTCTGTTGAAGATTAGACTGCGGTGAAGATGAGAGGTCGCTCCCGTCATCTTCGGAGTCAGGAATTTCGATCACAGGCGGTTGAGAAGCTTTGCCCCGGCGAGATGATATTGTACGCTTTGATGGCGAAGCAGACTTGCGCTTGGAGGGGGAAGTAATGCCTGGCGATGAATCTAGGCTGTCCTTTCTTGGCCGGCCAGGACGTCGCTTCGGAGTTTCAGGGGGTTGAGCGGAAGGCGGCGGTTCTTGAGGCTCCGAAGCACTAACGCTGTTCCTCCGCGATTGACCTCTGGGCTTTTTGGGGCTCTTTGCGGCTTTTGGGGGAGTCTTTATTTTGGAGATCTTTGTGGCTTTGGGCCTTGCAGCAGGCGATATAGCTGTGGCGTGAAAACTTGCCTGGCCTATACGAGCCTTGCTCTGCCAGCATTGATCTAGCAAGGCAATCATTGCGCTTCTTCGTTTGATGGGTTTGAAGCCGAATTTCTTGATTTCTTTTGCCAAGCGGATGTCTGTAAAGCCCTCGTAATTAGGCCTTGGTAGCTGTGGCGGAAGTTCAGGCAGTCTCTCGATTTCCTCTGTCGGTGTTACTAAAGCCCCATCGGCGGCATTGTTCTGCTCAGTTCTCGATGGG